AAGAGACAATGGATGGGCAAGGTTGAAGAGAAGGAAACTGGAATTTTGCTGTGTCTTGAAAAGATTAAGTTATTGTTTTGTAGTATAACTTCATGATACCTTTGACAAGATGGTTTCAGAAATATAAGTGTTGGAGTGTTGAGGTCTATCACCTCTCTTGCCTCTTGGAGTTACTAGAAAATAAGCGATATTTGTCTTGGCTGTATCACAAGACCACAACAACTAGTTCCACTCTAGTGCTGCAGCCATAGTCTGGTGCAGATGCAAAAGCAGCCACTGAACTGCTGCACTGTCACTTGGCCCTGCTATGACTTGTGTTTTCGCCATAAAGGGAGAACTGTATGCAGGTGCCAGTGCTGTAAATGGGGTTGCTTAGGACCTACTACACAATACAGGAATTTCTTCTACATGCTAATATCTCCTTGGGCTTTCCTGAGAGCTGTGAAGTTTTATGGAATTGTCTAGAATCTTCTAGTTTGAAGAACAAAGGGACATTTTTAAGACCAACGAAGTTTAATTCTGGGTATGCGCTTCTGTGTGCAACTGCAATGTATCTGAAGAAGTGTGCATGTGCACAAAAGCTTCTACCCAGAATTAAACTTTGTTGGTCTTAAAGGCGCCCCCACTGGCCTCAAACTTTGGTCTGCTGCTTCAGACCAACACGGTGACCCGCTTGAATCTATCTTCTAGTTTGAAGTCATTTAATTACATTTCCTACACCGCAATGTGTAGGTATCCTATTTCAGGGCCTGAGCAGTTATAAATAGAGTTCAGTCTGGATTCCATTTTTCAGTGTTCATATTCATAGGGAGGTTTCTGACATTTACTCATTACATTGGGATACCAGTTAATTTTGGGCAATGGTGCAGGGAGATGTTTACCGCCATCATTCTTCCTGGCAAACAGACTTTCTCCGGCTGGCTGGTTGACTGGCTGGCTGGATGCTCTTCCCAGACAATCACCAGTCCGTTACTTGAATCTTTGTCATCGGATGGCTTTGCAGCCCCCAGTCTGGATCCCAAGGTGTGGGTTTGTTTTGTTTTAGCAAATGGGTACAAAGAAGTTGAAAAGCAAAGAAGAAAGGAGTTAGGACTTAGCTATGGAACAGTAGGTGGGTTGTGATACCATATCCTTGTTTCATGAAGGCAGGTAGCACTAGGGACTTTGTGCAATGGACATCTTTTTATCCACAAGTTATTTGTTTTTGTGTTAATAATAAGGGAGGTGGGAAGAGCCCCCCGGGGAATTCTAAGGCAACAGGGTTCTGAAGAACATGACGACAATAAGATTTTCCATACATTTTTTTTTTGTGGTGGTTGGGAGGAAGGTAACAGTGTTCCATGCACCTCAGCGTTTGGTCATGCCGATCACATGACCGCAGAAACGTCTTTGGACCGTGCTGGCTCTTCGGCTTGGAACTAAAGATGAACACCGCCCCCTAGAGTCGGATTCGACTGGCTTTTACCTTTATTGTAGATCCAGGACTACATATCCCTGGACCGTTGCAACACAGAATGAACTATGACAGTTTCAGATCTTGCTTCAGATGGAATACTGGTTTATATTAAGCTGTGGTGTCTTGTGAGCAAAAATTCTACTTTGTGAGCTACTGGCATTAAAGTGGTGATTGAGTGATTTAGCTGCTGCATAAATCTGTTTGCTCTGGAGCCCTCCTTCCTGGGCTGAGACAAAAATGTGGGAGCCAGAGGCTAAAAAACTGTGAGCTAGCTCACACTAACTCAGCTTAGAGGGAACAATGCTTCTAACCTTAGCTTGTTATTTAGTTCTGAGTACTTTGCATATTTTAAACGTCATCATGTTACATGTTAATTTGCTATAAGTTTGAACCTTACCCACCATTCCAATGTATTCCAAAAAGTGTGCCTTGCCCATGAAAGCTCATACCTTGAATAAACCTTTGTTGGTCTTAAAGGTGCCACCGGACTCCAGATTTCTTCTAGTGGTGCTGATGTGGACCAGCATGAGCAGGGCAGGGGGGAAATTCAAGCTCAAAAGAGGTTTGTCCGGGCAGAGCATGAATGTTCCCGTGGACCTGCCCCCATAGGCCTTGTTGTGTTTAGGGGTCATTCCGTGCGCCTTGGTGTTTAGTCATGCCGGCCACATGACCACGGAAACTTCTTTGGACAGCGCTGGCTCTTCGGCTCTGAAACGGAGATGAGCACCGCAACCCTAGAGTCAGACTCGACTGGCTTTTGAGCAAGAGAACCTTTACCTTCCTGCCAGCCTAGCAGTTCGAAAGCAAGAAATTGCAAGTAGATAAATAGGGACCACTTCGGTGGGAAGGTAGCAGCGTTCCGTGCGCCTTGGTGTTTAGTCATGCCGGCCACATGACCACAGAAACGTCTTCGGACAGCGCTGGCTCTTCGGCTTTGAAATGGAGATGAGCACCGCAACCCTAGAGTTGGACTCGACTGGCTTTTGAGCAAGGGAACCTTTGCCTTCCTGCCAACCTAGCAGTTTGAAAGCAAGAAATTGCAAGTAGATAAATAGGGACCACTTTGATGGGAAGGTAACAGTGTTCTGTGCGCCTTGGTGTGCATTTAGTCATGCCGGCCACATGACCACGGAAATGTCTTCGGACAGCGCTGGCTCTTCGGTTTTGAGATGAGCACCGCAGCCCTAGAGTCGGCCTCGACTGGTTTTCGAGCAAGGGAACCTTTACCTTTACCTTTACCTTTATCTCCATTGAGATACACTGGCCCTGTTGGAGCTGTGCTAGAAAAGTTGTACCTCATGGATTGGATGCAGTGGTTGCAGATCTTCTCCGCCTTCCCCTCTCCCCAGCAGCTCTTTCCAGTCCCGGGAAGGCTGACTCCTTCGGCCATGGGACCCAGGTGGAGGTCAGTGAGCTGTCAGGGGGAGGGGGAGGGGGTGAGATTGGCTTTACTTTCTCTTCTCTTTGTCAGTGGAAGAGGAGGCATGAGGGGGGAGTTCACCCCCTTCCCCTTCCTCACTACAGCCCACTGACCCACTCAGCTGCCCCTCTACCTGAGTCCTGTGGCCCTGAGAATAAACTTTCCAGCGGTCAGAAATGAGGGGATTTTAAATCTTGTATGCTTTTTTTAAGTCCGCATGGTCAAAGCAACGGTATTCCCAGTAGTCATGTATGGCTGCGAGAGTTGGACTGTAAGGAAGGCCGAGTGCCGAAGAAGAGATTCTTTTGAACTATGGTGCTGGAGAAGACTCTTGAGAGTCCCTTGGACTGCAAGGAGATCAAATCAGTCAATCCTGAAAGAAATCAACCCTGACTGTTCCCTGGAAGGCCAGATAATGAAACTGAAGCTCAAAAACTTTGGCCACCCAATGAGAAGGGAGCATTCACTGGAGGAGAAGACCCTGATGCTGGGAAAGACTGAAGGTCAAAGAAGACGGGGATGGCAAAAGATGAGATGGTTAGACAGTGTCATAGATGCAACGAACATGAAATTGAGCCAACTTCAGAGGACGGCGGAAGACCGGAAGGCCTGGTGTGATCTGGTCCATGGGGTCGCAAAGAGTCGGAGTCAATTGTGCGACTCTTGGTTTGGTGTGTGGTTTGTCCTCTCTGATATCTTGGTATGGACGCTGTGTAGTTTGAGCACTTTATTGTCTGACTGGGTTTTAAATTGTATATTATGTTTTTAAATGTACTAAAGTATTTGATGTTTTTTATGAGCAAGTTTTTGCCATGTAAGCCACCTTGAGCCCTACGGGGGAGGGCGGGGTATAAATTTAACAAATAAATAAATAAATAAATAAATAAATAAGACTGAACAACAACAAATGCTTTTTTAAAGTCCGTTTGGTCCTTGTGTATTTTTTCTTTATTGGTGAGGCTGGCTGTGCCACTAGACACGGTGAGCCTCCTACATCAGGGGTTTGATCCTTCAGTACCCTCAAATGGAAGCAGATTTGACTTTTCGTTTTTGCTGTATCTTTACTGCCGTGGAAAAGGCACAATTTGGCTGTTCTGCCTCAGGCACCACAATGTCTCGAGGTAGGGTTGCCAGCCTCCAGGTGGGGCCTGGGGATCTCCCGCTTTGACAACTGATCCCCAGCTGACAGAGATCAGCTCCCCTGGAGAAAATGGCTGCTCTGAACGGTGGACTCTGTGGCATTGGACCAGGCTGAGGCCCCTCCCCTCCCCAAACCCCGCCCTCTCCTGGCTCCACCCCCAAAGTCTCCAGGTATTTTCCAACCCAGACCTGGCAACCCTATCTCGAGGCCTTCTGGGTCATGGCACCAAAACGATGTGACCCCCCCTCCCCCCCGGGAGAATAGTAGTCTGCGCCGCTCCCTCGTCTTCCACCAGTGGGTGAAGACTCCTCTGTTTTGTTCGGCATGCCCCTCACTGGCTCTTATCAACTCGTCTTCCAGCTCATGTTATAAACCTATTTTTATAGGGTTGGGGGTCGTTGGTGATTGTTGCCTTGGGAATCTGAGTGAATTGAAAGATGGCATTTTAAATAAATATAATAAATCTCTGTGGCTCTAATAAATTAAAAATGTATATTAGTAGGGCTGCCAAGTGGGGGCGGGTGTTGGGTAAACCCCCGCTTTGGAGGCCCGATTTCCGCCGCCGTGGAATCGGGCCCCAGGGGGAACTCCGCCCCCTGAAGTGCAGCGTGACTGCGTCACCAGAGGTGACGCAACCACGTTACTCACGTTGGGGGCGTGGCCCCAATCGTCGGAGGGAAGACTCTATGGTTTTCCCTCTAATGATTGTGGCCACACCCTCAATGTGAGCGACGTAGCGCATCACTTCCTATGACGTAACACCTCGCCGGAGAGCTCCCGGAGCCCAGCGAGGCTCCCCCGCCACCAAGGTAAGTAGACTTGGCAACCCTATATATCAGGGGTATTAGTTTTATCAGGCATGCATGTGTTTATTATTTGCCATCTCTCCGCAGCACAACAGACTAGTGTTTTCCATCATTTCGAGCTCTTGGAAATTCCTGGCGTTATCTTACACTTTATTTTCCTCTGCTTTTGATCCGCAGGCCTTGAACCGGGGCATCGCGGCCGTCAAAGAAGATGCTGTAGAAATGCTAGCCAGCTATGGGTTGGCCTACTCCCTCATGAAGTTCTTCACCGGTCCAATGAGTGACTTCAAAAATGTGGGACTGGTGTTCGTTAATAGCAAAAGAGACAGAACCAAAGCAGTTTTGTGCATGGTTGTAGCTGGTGCAGTGGCGGCGGTATTCCACACGTTGATAGGTAAGCACTCCTGCCCGTCTCTGGTCAAGCCAACTGTTGCTTGCATAGACTGGTCGACTGATATATCTCCCCACCACCACCACATGTTGTAAAACTTGCCTTCCTACATATGTGTTTCATTTAGGTTCTTAGGTAACTGGGTAAGGTCTCGGGCCCAGGCTGCTTAGGATCTTGCTACCTGAGATATGCTGTCTGTTGCTCCCGGGCTCCTCCAGGCCCTCACCCCACTGGCATCCGTGCCCAAGTGGCTTGCTCGTGAGCCATGCTGCAGAACAATGGCCACTTGGCAGGGATGCAGGGCAGTCAGCTGGGATTCAGGAACCCGATCTTGTCAAACTAAATTATGGAGCAAAAAAGCAATGAACGTTTTATGAGCGGATACGTTCTGCAAAGTGGCAGCTGTTCAGTTCAGTTTTTATTGCACAGGGCCAATGGCCATTACAAGTGGTAGAAAATAACGTGCAATAAAATAGAGTACAGTAAAATTGGATTAAGGCACTATAAGAGTTACATTTTAAAACTTATTTCATAAAAAAGGAAAACCTTTCGGAGATGTCTGTTGTGTACTAGTTGAATTCTTAATTGGACTATGCTGGCAGTAGCTTGGCTCGAATTTTCTTTGCTGCTAAGGCAAAAAGGGCAGGCTTCTAAGAAACCTTATAAGAAACTATTGGATCTGCATCAACAAGTTAAAATATAACTTTTTCCATCACAGTGCTGAGGCCTAAATTGGCCAGGATTGTACCTAAGAATCTCCTTTGTGGGAGGGAATAAAGTGGGCAGGCCAGCAGATGCTGGCACAGTGGCAGCTGAAGAAAAGCCGGATGAAGAAACGCAGGAAAAGGCATTAAATATGGGTGGGGTCCCTGCTTGGACTCTGAGCCCCTGAATCTGCCCGAAGGCCTGTTGACTGGCCAGCATGTTATCATCTTGCCCATTTGCTAGAACAGAAAGATTAGCATTTGTCTCATTTCCCTGCTTTCTAAGAGAGGTGTGCCTGTCTGTGGATCAACGAGGGTGCTCTTCAGGGGCACCCCAGCCCTGCTTTGGTTTAACAGAAAGCGGCATTCATCCGAGTGGGACCTACTTCGCAGACGCTCAGGGGCACTTTCAGGAAAACTTTATTCCCCCAGGGGGAAGGCGTTCCGCAGACGTTGACCAGCACACATCCTGAGGTGTAAGAACTTTCAAAACCTATCTGATAGTTCTGTGGGTACTAATTAAAAAGGAGGGCTGTCCAAGTCGAAGCCAACACACATGTGGGACGATCAGGCCTGCGTGCCCCAGTTCTCAAAACTAGTGAGGCCAGACGTCAGGCTTCCCCGTCAGTGGGTCAGACCCGGGGCTGGCTCACCCTCTAGCCCTCCTTTCTGGCGTTGTCCTAGGAGCAGCCGCACGACCATGAGAGGAGCAGGGTTCGGCTTTGCCCTCCTCCCCCTCTCTGGCTGCGGACTGTGGGAGAAGTCTGGCTCTTCCTCTCTGCCCCCCCCGGGCAGCTTGTTTAAAGGGTGGACTGGAGCCCTTCCAGCCTCGGGCTCTGCCAATCCCAACAGCCCTGGGGCTGGCTGGCCTTGCTGGAAGGACGGGGCTCAGTGTTAATGCCCCCCCCCGAGCCTCTCTGCCCTGCGCCCCCTCCTGTTTGCCTCGAAGGGCTGTCTGCTTGGCCCACGTGGCCTCTCGCCCCTCTGTCCCCCCCCCCTCCAGACTGACTGTTCCTGCCACACACCCCTCTGCTTCGTCCTGGGCCAGCCTGGAGGGTTCCCCACCTTCACAGGCTGCCCGGTGGCTTCCTTCCATTCCTGGCTCTCCTGCGCTGCTGCTGTCTGCCGGGGCGCTCGTGGAGCTGGGGAGTTGGGGGGGGCAGGGCTGCTGGCTCTGGACACCAGCCTGCACCAGCCTGGACTTTCATCTCCAGAATGGAAACGGAAACAAGCTTCCGGCTGCAAATATTCCTCTAGCTCAGTGGCTCTCAACCTTTTGTATTTTAGATCCCACCCGTTGCTCTGTCGAGGAATCTGTGCCCCACCACGATAGAAACAAAACCCGCATGTTTTTTTCGGAGGAAGACATTTATGTATTTACAGGAATTCTGTTGTCTGGTTGGATCCGGACTACTGCTCTACATGGATGGAGCATGATTTCCCAACCTCTCCCCTCCTGTGGCAGCCAGATGTGCCTCTCCCATCTTCTTCTTGGGGAGGTTACCTCTCCTTGAAGAACAGGATTTCAGCTGTGTGTGTGTGTGTGTGTGTGTGTTTCAGGCTGCTTCAGGAGGGAGGAAATCACACCCCATGAGTGGAAATCCTTGCACCTGCCGAAGTGTCTAGTTTGGATCCAAGCCAGTATATTTGCTATTTACAGCAAGTGTTAAGCACATTAAAAAAACTGAGCAGGTCACATTTGCAGGTAGACATGAGGCTTGTGGGAAAGTGAATTCTTAGTAATCGGTATGAAAACCCTGTGTCCCACGTAGACAAATTCTGTGTCCCACCAGTAGTATGAGAACCACTGTTCTAGCTGATGGTTGAGCCTCTCCTTTGAGCTGGCCTGGTAGGTAGACTCTCATGTTATAAAGTAAACATATATGCAAGTGATATTATGTATGCATGGTAATGTGCAAATCTGCCCCAAGTCCCAGTTTGGCATTTGGGCAGCATGACATGTACCGTCAGATTCTGCGTTTCATCCTCTTCTTCTTAGGATGATGCAGTTTCACTTACCTCATTATTAAAATGACTGTAATAATACATTCCTACCTCTTCTTAAGCCTCGCATAATGATGGCATCTTCAATGCAAGCTTGGCATGACATGGCAAAATCTGTTACTGGTGCTGCGCCACCTGAGTATTTTCTTCCCAAAACTAGTGGAAAGAAGTGGGGGGGGGGGGATATTTTTCACATATGGTTGGATTTCACCATTTTGCATTGTCTTAAAGTCACGTATGAGCTACATAGTGAGCTTATTGAGGTACTGTCATCTCTGTGGGACCTATAAAAAGGAAAAGGTAAAGGTTTCCCTTGCTCGAAAGCCAGTCGAGTCCGACTCTTGGGTTGCGGTGCTCATCTCCCTTTCCAAGCCGAAGAGCCAGCGTTGTCCGAAGACATTTCCGTGGTCATGTGGCCGGCATTACTAAACACCAAGGCGCACAGCGAACGCTGTTGCCTTCCCACAGAAGTGGTACCTATTTATCTACTTGCAATTTCTTGCTTTCGAACTGCTACGTTGGCAGGAGCTGGAGCCAGAGACGGGAGCTCACTCCATCATGCGGCACACTCAGGTCTCGAACTGCCGAACTACCGACCTTCCACAGCCTGCAGTTCAGCGTCTTAACCACTTGAGCCACCGCAGCTCCTGTGGGACCTATAAATTTCCCCAAATTAGGTTAGTTCAAGCAAATTAAGCAAATGCAGCCTTGTGGTTCTGTGCCCCTCTCACCTGCTACCTGCTCATTACATAAGCTTGCAGAAGTCGTTTTTCAGATTCGCCTCCAAGCCTATGAAAATGTGCCCAGGAAATCACAACTTTTGAGAAGATTTGGCAATATGGGAGAGCAGTATCTGGTTACTTGATAAGGTCTTTGAAAACAAACAGTAATAACCTAATCAAGGGCGACTTTCTTTTGATGATGCAATAATGAAGTCAGATGGATTAAACATAATCCTCCAAAGGTTAGGCTGGAGATTTGTTTGAGTTCATAAACACATTCTGCGAAGTTGCCGGGAAAATCTAATAAACCCCCAGCACCACTGGTTCGAGCTACCCAGTTTTGTTCTTAAAGGGGGCAGAAAGCAGGTACTGCAAGCTATCATTATTACAGCTCACAATGTCAGATTGTAATGATAAGGGATCCACAAATTTTGGCTGACGCTGATTTCCCTGGACTGCAGTAAGATAAAGTGTCAGTCTCTGACTGTGTCAGTATTCTACCGAACATATGGCTAAAATAGATTCAGTAAGATCTGTGAATGGCTTAGCACAAGGGTTTTTGACTGATAAAAATCAGCACTAGTGCTCTGTAGCTGAAGTCTGGGCCACTGCTCTCTGTGCGTGTGCGTGCGCATGCGCAGGCACGTGTATTAAACTATGCCTGCACCATTTCACCAGCACTTAAGTAGCCTCCCACATTTGCTTTTTGCTCTGTTAGAAGAAACATACAAGCAATTAATGAGACCTAACAGGCTGGTTAACTCAGACAAAATGGAACAGCCTTGTTCATGTAGGTCACATTAAAGATCGTTCCCCCACATTATGTTTCAGGGTTTTATTGCCTATGTATCAGTATTTAATTAAATCTCATAAGATATTCTAATGCATAATGATAACATGGCAAAGTAGGAAGCTTCTGAAAAAACACAGTTGTCTGTTTGTACATTTCAATCGTCGTGAGTTCCCCTGGAGATGGAACTTTGATTCTAGCCAATAGAAACCCAGGCAAGAAGCTGAAGAGGAAAAGAGAACATTATAGTGTGAAAAAGTAGGACAGTTGGAAGTAAAGTAGAGGTGGAAAGTAGGGATGTGTGCTCAGGTGTCTCTGGTCCAGAAATATACCCCAAAATTTGGGGTATATTCTGGATCTGGATACATGTTAAAGAATCCTGGTCAATACCGGCACCCCAATCCTGAATATTCCTCAAAATACTTAGGAATGTTCAGAAATATCCGGGGCAGACATTTTAAAGCACCAGACTTGAGGATTGTTTTGCTTTTTTGCACGTTTCTCAGGCAGCAGGAGGGAGGGAGGGGGGGAGGGGGGGAGGGAGCTCTCACAGGCAAAACGGATCCCATGCCAGGTTGGTTCTGCTGGGATTCTCCAGCTTGGCATTGGCTGTGTTGCACTTCTTGGTTCTGTTTGTGTTGGGAGGGTTTTGGACAGTGGCTGCTTGCTCTTGAGTGTTTACCCTGGAGAAAGCAGGGGATTTCCCCCCCCCCCACAGGAAACAGTGCAAGATGGCTGGGGGCACTTTGTTCAGGGACCCCTAGAAATGGACCCCTTGGTCCAATTCATTTGAAACTTGGGAGCCGCTGAGGAGACCGGCAGCACAACCTGTGGTAAGGTTGCCGTGTGACCACACCCTATGTCTGCTGCAGTCTTGGTGCGATTACTAAAAACAGTCCCCCCCCGAAAGATTCCCAATTAATAGACCTGAATAATTTTGGAATCACCCTCCCCCCAAAAAAACTGAAAACAAATCCAAATATCAAGCCAGTATTTAGTACTCAAATAACTTGGAGCTGCGGTGGCTCAAGTGGTTAAGATGCTGAACTGCAGGCTGTGGAAGGTCAGTAGTTCAGCAGTTCGAGACCCGGGTTGCCGCATGACGGAGTGAGCTCCCGTCTCTAGTTCCAGCTCCTGCCAACCTAGCAGTTCGAAAGCAAGACATTGCAAGTAGATAAATAGGTACCACTTCGGTGGGAAGGTAACTGCGTTCGCTGTGCGCCTTGGTGTTTAGTCATGCCGGCCACATGACCATGGAAATGTCTTCGGACAGCGCTGGCTCTTTGGCTTGGAAAGGGAGATGAGCACCGCAATCCTAGAGTCGGACTCGACTGGCTTTCGAGCAAGGGAACCCTTTACCTTTACCTTTAACCTGGAGTACTGATAATTATGCCCTCCCTAATACCTGGATCGCATAAACACCTATTTTTTCCTGGTGCACATCCCTAACGGAAAGGCTGTTGAAGGGAGGGGGAAGGAGCAGGTCCTTCAAAGAAGAGCTCACCACCTATCCAATAGTGGAGCCCTAGCAGAAGACATATGGCACCAGCCACCATTTGAAGGAAGCAAGATTTCCAGTGGCAGAAAGAGGAAGGAGCCCTCTGCGCAAGACCCATCTGGGCATGATGTGATGTGATGTGTGTGTGTGTATTAAACATGTGACTGGGGGAAAAAACAATAACAAATCACCATTATTTCTACAGCATACAGTGATCTGGGATACTACATTATCAACAAGTTGCACCATGTCGACGAATCGGTGGGAAGTAAAACACGCAAGGCCTTCCTCTATCTTGCTGCCTTCCCCTTCATGGACGCCATGGTGAGTCTGCAGCGTAGCTGCATTTACTGCCGTCCTCATTCTTGGGCGCAGTGCATGAAGTCGCAGAATGTCCTTTATCTCCCCAAGTGCTTTGCATACTACATTTGGGAACCACGGTTTGCACTGAAGTCTCTCCTCCCTTCTTATGAGAGATAAAACAATTGTGTTCAAGTTATCTTGGTGCAGCATTTGATGAGGGTTGGCAAAAAAACAGGCCATGGCTCAGTGGCAGAGCATCTGCTTTGTATGCAGTCCCTGGCATCTCCAGCAGAGAGGGTTGGGTAGTAGGTGATGCCTGAGACTCTAGGGAAATGCTGCCCATCGGAAGCAAACAGTATTGGCCCTGGTAGCTCACTACAAGGTAACGTCATGTGTGCAGGGCAGGCGGTTCACACAGCCCCGCAGCCATCCCACTATTCCCTGGGGCAATCGAAGGTTAAACGTCATCCAATCTGGTCCGTCTCACTGATTTTGTGGTTTTGTCCTGTTCAGGCTTGGACCCACGCAGGCATTCTTCTGAAACACAAGTACAGTTTCCTGGTGGGATGTGCCTCCATCTCAGATGTCATCGCTCAGGTAATGTACTAGGAACATGCAGTGTTTGCAGAACGGATTCAGATGCAACATCTGTCTGTGGTTGGGAGGGATGGCACGGGTACAGGCCACTCCCATCCGATCTGGGAAGCTCAGCACTTGGAAGGGAGACCTCCAAGGAAGGCCCTGCAGAGGAAGGCGATGGCCAACCACCTCTGCTTCTCACTTGCCTTGGAAGCCCCTTGGCGGGGTCACCATAAGTTGGCTGCGACTTGACAGCATGCACAAACACCTTTTGTCTATAACTGGGTGGACATTTATGCTGGGCCAACATTAGAAATTGTCACGAAATAATTATTATTTTGGGAACTGCGGTGGCTCAAGTGGTTAAGACGCTGAACTGCAGGCTGTGGAAGGTCAGTAGTTCAGCAGCTCGAGACCCGGGTGCCACATGACGGAGTGAGCGCCCGTCTCTAGTTTCAGCTCCTGCCAACCGAGCAGTTTGAAAGCAAGACATTGCAAGTAGATAAGTAGGTGCCGCTTCAATGGGAAGGTAACAGCGTTCCGTGCGCCTTGGTGTTTAGTCATGCCGGCCACATGACCACAGAAACGTCTTTGGACAGCGCTGGCTCGTCGGCTTTGAAACGGAGATGAGCACCGCAACCCTAGAGTCGGATTCGACTGGCTTTCGAGCAAGGGAAACCTTTACCTTTACCTTATTGCTTCTAGTTCTTAAGATTGTTTCAAACTCTTCATATGCCCACACATACATGCATATGCCTTTTTCCATTTAATTTTAATAGGTGACCTGCAGCTGATAAAATCTTGAGCCCCACAGTTAGTGCAGGACCTGAAAAGTCTACACTAAAGGCGTTTGCCAGGCTACGGCCGATCCTCCCTTGCTTCCAAGCCAGGCTGCTACTCACTTGTCCTTGTCCTCTCACCAAGAGAGATGCTGCCTGTTGGAAGCCTTTTATCTCACCATGAAGGATTTAGCAGATTTAAGATCCTAGTAATAACTTTGATTGAAGTTTGAGTCCAGTGGCACCTTTAAGACCAACAAAGAAACAAAGGAAATAAAACTTTTTTGGTCTTAGAGGTGCCTCAAAATTTGTTCTGCTGCTTCAGAGGGACATAGCTACCCACCTGAATATAACATTGATCAGTGAGCCTAAGGTTGATCTATTATCTTTTGGATAGATTTGTTATATTTTGGGATGTTTCTGCCCTTCCTCTCACCCTTACCCCAAATCTGTTCTTTGACCCTCATCTCAGCCAAGGGCCTGTGCCATCCCTTGTCTTTCAAGGAAAAGTTTACAAGGTTTGTTTTCCTTATGTTCCTCTTAGGAATGTGGGATGTACTCTAAACAGAGGGTGGAGTGAATTATGATGAGAATGGAATCGATTGATTGTTTTTGAAATACCAGACCCTGACCTCTTTGTTTGGTCTTATTCTGTAAAAGAAGAACTTTGAATCTGCTCTTTATGTCAGCTTTCAAGTCCAGCGGCACCTTTAAGACCAAGGGATAAGTTTGCGTGTGCACGCTGTGTGCGCGCAGAAAAGCTTATATGCTGCTTCAGACCAATGTTCCCTGTAAGCTGCGGCGTCTTGTGAGCAAAAAATTCTACTTTGTGAGCTGCTGGCATTCAAGTGGTGAGCGAGCGATTTGGCTACTGCAGAAATTCGTTTGCTCTGGAGCCCCATCCCTTCCTGAGCCAAGACAAAATTGTGTGAGCTGGAGGCTAAAAACCTGTGAGATAGATCACACTAACTCGGCTTAGAGGGAACACTGCTTCAGGCCTACACGGCTGCCTGCCTGACTCTCTCCTTGTGTCATCTCGTTAGTGAGGCTCAGACACTCTGACAAGCTTGCATCAGAACGATCCTTCTGATAAAATCTGCATGCTCTGTTAAGCCAGAAGCCTTGAGCAGCAAATCTTTTCTCTCCCAGGTAGGACTTGGGAAAGGGGCGGGGAGTTATACTAGAGTTCGGCAAATCTCTCGCTGGCACTGCCCTTTGGAAGTCCAGGCGCTGATGTCCGGGATCAAGGGAATCCCCTCCCCAGGCACGTCGGTCAGGCAGCCCTGGAGGCTGTTGCTGTCTGCCACCTCCCGAGAAAACTGCAGGTTGGACCCAAAGAGTCGGTGTGGTCTGCTCTCGATGATTAAGCAGCCAGCACCCCTGAATAGCAATGAAAGTGTACATTATGTTCAGAATTACTATTTAAAGTGTATGTCCTGTTTTGAGTTCCCCGATCGTGTCCTCGGTGGCTTAGTTTTCTTTTTCCTTTCTTTCCTTTTCACAGGTTGTCTTCGTGGCCATCTTGCTGCACAGCCACTTGGAGTGCAAAGAGCCACTCCTCATTCCCATACTGTCCTTGTACATGGGAGCACTGGTGCGGTGCACCACCTTATGCCTGGGTTACTACAGAAATATCCACGATATTATTCCCGACAGCAGCGGGCCAGAGATGGGGGTAGGTCTTGATGCATTATTGGACCTAACTGTGTGATGACCTCAAATACATCTGCCTTGCAAACAGATGCACAAAATTACTAATCAGTTGGGGGGGGGAATCAAATCTTCCCGCTTCCAGTCGCTGTCCTAACAGGTCACCTCGGAAAAGAATCCCCCTCCCCCGTCTAAACCCTTTAATAAAGAATTCTTATGCAGAGAGAAGAGAACATAAATCATCGAAACTCAAAAGATATGACTCCTATGAAGCTCCCGTTTCTCAAATAATAACTATAATTCTGAATTGAAAAAGACAAAATAATTACAGGTACAACAGGATCAACTTTCTCTTAATATATAAAATGATAACAATCACAATTAAATGCTATATCTGCCAATAATATATTTCACCATATCTTACCCATCAATGTTTTTGATCATAACAGTGAGGAAAGGGCATGTGGTTCTCTTTTATCTTATATTATTCCAGTGCATTACAAATAGTGCCCACCTCATAATAAATTAATTATTACCAGGTTCAGTCTTCTATTATAATATGTTAATTTTGTCTTTAACGTGAAATCCCATGTTTGCTTTATACCAGTCTATAAAGGATGGCAGGTTTGTTCTTTCCCTGCATGCAGCAGTGCAAATATTACGTTCTCTGGCGATGCAGCTCCAGAGCTTTTTGGATGACGCTTCCATCTTAGAAAGCCATCTTAGTCTGGCTTTCGCCCGGGTCACGGAATGGAGATGGCACTGGTCGCCCTCACAGGTGATCTCTGGAGGCATCTGGATCCATGCGGATCGGCAGTACTGTTGCTGTTGGACCTGTTGGCTGCGTTCGACACGGTCGACCATCAATTACTGGCCCACCGCCTCGCCGACATTGGAATTCAGGGGCTTGCCTTGCATTGGCTTGTCTCCTTCCTCCAAGGCCGGGGACAAAGGGTGGCGCTGAGGGAACAGCTCTCCCAGAGAGCTATCTTCAGTGGTAGCCTGAGTCGGGGCAGACCAGGGGTAAGGATCCCACTCCCGACCTTCAATGGGGCGCCGTTGGTGCCAGCGCCGGAGGTGAGGAGTCTGGGAGTGCTGCTGGACGCCTCCTTAACAATGGAGGCCCAGGTGGCAGCCACTGCCAAATCGGCCTTTTACCATCTTCAGCTGATTAGGCAGTTGGTTCCCGTCCTTGAATGCAACAACTTGGCAATGGTGATCCATGCAGATTGGACTACTGTAATGCTCTCTACATGGGGCTGTCCTTATTGCAAATTCGGAAGCTACAGCTGGTGCAAAATGCAGCAGCCAGGCTGTTAATGGGCCTTCCAGTACGGGAGCACGTTCAACCTGTGCTGAAGGCACTGCATGGCTACCAATAACATACCGAATTTGCTTTAAGGTGCTACATGGTCAGGGACCTACATACTTGAGGGACTACCTTTCCCCCCATGTTCCCCCAGAGAGCACTGCAATCAGGGTCTCAACATTGACTCTCCCTTCCTGGACAAAAGGATGCCAGGCTAGCTACAACCAGGGCTAGGGCCTTCTCAGTGGCGGCTCCTCTCTGGTGGAACGAGCTCCCGGAGAAGATCAGGGTCCTGTGGGACCTTATGCAGTTCCACAGGGCCTGCAAGACGGAGCTGTTCCGCCAGGCCTTCAGCTAGGAGCTGCCCCAGGGGAGAAATTTCTGTCCCCCCTGGAATTTAAAGTAGCGTGAGCCAGCCGCACGATTAAATTGGGGCTGACCACCAGAAAGGTACGGAAGTGGAACGTCATCTCATTAAATTATTATCTGCTAATGACATCTGTCTGTCATCGGTTACCACCTTTTAATGTTATAAATGTTTTATGATTATTATTTATTGTTGTTTTACTCTTCTGTAAGCCGCCCTGAGCCGGCCGTCGCTGGGAGGGCGGGGTGTAGGTCTGATAGATAAATAAATAAATAAATAAATACGAGGGGTAGTTATCAAGCCCAAAATAAGTTCCAAGTCCTTATCTAGGACAATATTTTTAAGATAACGCAAAAGAAGTACCTTAGATTCAGATGGTAAATTATACTCTGACGTGTGTGTTCTTGCAGCAAGAAAAAGACTCTTTTTTTAACCACAGGCAACCAGGTAAGGTACTGCATTACAGGACTGCAATGGATTGATATTGTTAAATTGGTAAATAATCCAGTCTCTTTTCTTTTTAAAGAATGGACTAACATAACAGTTCTGTACCTATTATTTGGCAGTAATACCCACTGATTTCAGCATAATCTATTTTCCTTAGTTTCTTTGTATATTTTAATGGTTTGTTGTATAGTAACTGTTAGGATGGCCAAACACTTTACACAGGCTGCAGTCACACGGAGCATTAGGCACGCTAGAGAGACGGAAGATAGGCGGATTTTCCAGGCGCGATCTCACCGCCACATCTGGGAAGCGTAGAGCTCCCGTGGCTCACCCGAGGCTTCACTCTGAAGATGCGCTGTAAAAAACTAATACCTGCGAGGTACTAGTTTCCGGCATGGGTGGGCATCTGATCGCGTTTCTGGTGGTAGTTCTGGTGCCCACCCATGTCCCCTCGCAAAAAGGTGTTTTTTTCCCCAAGTCTCCACGGATGCGCACGAGCACCCAACGGAGCATGCGCACACTTTAGTTTAAAAAAACCCACAACCCCGTTTGCCCCACGGCCCCGCTTTTGTACAGCGCCACAGGATTGTCCTGTGATCGGCACCTCCCCCCTAACCACGGGACCTCCATGGGACGTCTGCTCCTTCAACTGCGCGTTATTTTGCCCCGGGGCAAACAGCCATGCTTCCCTCCCACATTTTCCGGCCCGTATGACCGGGGCCACAAAATGTCTTTTTCTGTCACTGTCTTCCCCACACACACTCCCCCCATGGATCAAGCCCATTTAATTCTCATTTCATTCTTGCTCACTTCTGTGAAAAGAGAAGCTGGTGTGTGGCAATGCAGGGACTAGGAACTAGGAGATTCGGGTTCGACTCCCTGCTCTGCCCTGGGAGCTCCCTGGGTGACCTGGGGCCAGTCGCGCACTCTTCTCAGCCTCACCTACCTCCCAGGGTGGTTGTGTGAAGATAAAATGGAATATGTTACAAGCCACTTTGGGTCTCCACAGAGGAGAAAAGTCAATGAATACAGCCATAATATTTTTTTCTAAGTGAGCTCCAGCGGGAGTGTACCTGACATCGTGTTCCAGTTTATGTGTCTGCTGATCATAACCCATTTTAAGACGTGGGTCTGCTCAGTTCCAAGCACAGGGGATTATTATATACACAGTACTGCAGACATAGTGACGAGGCGTAGGAAGGTTCTCTCTTGCAGAGAAGTGTATCAGCAGACCTAGTTCTGTAAACCTCTTGCAGCACTATACATTAATGGTTAACATCTGGAACCTTAGTCTCATGTGGTAAATACTTAGTTCAACGTTTATCCAAAAACCGCCATGTTGTTAAGAGTCTTTTGCTTCCGTTTGCCATTGTTTTGCGAGGGGAGGGGTGCAGGCTCGTTTTTCTTGCTCAAGTGATTCGTCAAACTATATTTTGGTAAGAAAAATCTTTGGTTACATTTTGGCAGGGGGTCAGCTCTGCTCTGATACTGTCTCTATTATGTCCTTCAGGGAGACGCTACAATAAAAAAGATGCTGAGCTTCTGGTGGCCTCTGGCACTGATTTTGGCTACGCAGAGAATTAGCAGGCCGATCGTCAACCTCTTTGTGTCTCGGGATCTGGGTGGCAGCTCGGCAGCCACGGAGGTATGAGCCTCTCCAAGACGCACCGGGCCTGGGTGGGGAAGCCGGGCGACTGCTTTAGAAGTGTCATTAAGCTGCTGAAGATCTCAGGTTTCCTCAGGGAGTCAAAAGGCTGCAGAAGTCTGCATGAAGTCTCAAAACCTGAGCTTCACTCCTGCCCATTCCTGTAACTGTAGCCATTTCTCTCAGCCCTGTCATGACTAAGGGCCAAACTAGAAATTACACAAAGGCCCATAATCCTCCGTGGGGGGGGGGGGACTCAAAGCTGGCCTACATTGTTCTCAGCACTGTTTCTAGGGCCCCCCTGAACCCTGGGGGCAGGGTTCCGAAAGGCCCCATGGACAGCAGTGGGAGGAAGAGGCAGAAATGTAATGTTAACGCAATTGGGCGTCATGGTCTGTGACCCACATATCTACAGGACCATCTCTCTTCGGGTGAGCTCCCGTGAAGCAACAGCATTCTTTGGAGGTAGACCTGCTTGTGGTACCATCTCACAGGGCAGTGACGAGAGCTATCTTCAGTGGTAGCACCCATTGTCAGACTCTTGAACAAACGTACTCTCAACAACACTCTCTGGTCAGTGATTTGTTTATTGAGAGATGTGCATGTGTCACGCTAAGACTATTCGTGTCAGAACTAAAGTCTTTGGCGCCAATTCTGGAATTATACATGATTCAAACAAGTACCCCCCCCCCATTAACCCATCCAGTCAGTCCACTCATTCAGCCTGCTAAAAGTTAGCGTGCACCGTAAATCCTCCTCCCCCCACCCAGAACCAGGGACAAGCTTCCAAGACCATTCCACATTCTTCTCGTTCAGGAGGCCCCTTAAGAAAACAGTTCCCAAGCCGTTAAGCAAAGCAGGTTCTCACACCCTCACTCACTCTCACATCTACCCCCCCAGTGCCCAAGTACATGAAATTGGAACACACAAAATTCATGGCCAACGAGGCTTCGAGTTAGACACCCATCTTGTAGAGAGATCTTCCTGCGTGTATCAGGAAGGCGCTCCCTTCGCTGACGGTTCAGAAGTACTGCAAGACCAAACTATTGAGACAGGCTTTTTGAATGCAGGGCCAACCATTTCCAGGGTTTGAAAATCGTTTAGCTTTTAGCATTTGGGTCTGTAGCTGAACATCCGGTTTTGCTTCATATTTTGTAGATTTATTCTTTGGGTGTTCTTATATTGTAACCCACCCCACGTCCTCTCTTGGAGGGAAGCGGGCTAGAAAATGTTCTAAATGAATAAATGGAAGTGCTGTTCTGTGGTTCATTAGGTACAACCCTTTGGGGCAGAAGTTATCCTAGTCCACATAATAGCTGCTTTTTCATGAGCCACAGGTTGTGCCAGACGTCTCCATTTCAGTTCCTGGTATGTTTGAGGGGTTTTTTTTACAAAAAGTTATAAGGTAGAAGGCTAGGAAAGAATTCTGCCTGAGACCCTGGAGAGCCCCTGCCTGTTGAACTACACACGGCTAGGCAAGGCCAGCCAGTGGTCAGACTCGGTAAAAGCCATCTCTTTGTGGGACAATCACATACTTCCAAAGCAGTGCTGAAGCTCCATGGATGGGAACTCCTGTGAAGACCTGCCTTATTTAGTTGAGGAACACGGCCAAGGCAGTCTGTTATCCAAACGTTTCTGTGTTAGGATCTTGAATGTTTCTGAAAAAGTATCAGCGGAGCTTCTAGTCTAGAACTAGGGATGCCAGCCTCCAGGTGGGGCCTGGGGATCCCCCGGAATTACAGCTCATCTCCAGACCACAGAGATCAGCTCCCCTGGAGAAAACGGATGCTTTGGAGAGTGGACTCCACTGAGGTGGTCCCTGTGTCCTACCTGGCTCCAGGAGGGTCCCAACCTGGATCTGGCAACCCTACTTCCCCCCTTCCCCAATCCCCTGCCAGTGGTCAGGGTGAGTGAACCTGGCAATCCTATCTAGGACTGTGTACGGTGAAGCAATTCATTCCAAAAGGTGAGTTTCCTAGCAGTTATCTGATCTGTATACAGCAGCCTTCCAGAGGCAGGCAGGCTGGAGGAGCCTCGTCTAGCCCACAAGGCATTACATGGGATGGTTTCTCTTGTCTGTGGAAGAATTAGGTCCAGCGTAACAGGAGGAGTCCAAGCGGCTGCTCCTGCGGAAGGGTGCAAGCTGGTGCCGCACTGTTGATGCCGTGGGGAGGGCCGTGCTTGCCATGAGTGGGAGGCAGGGGCTGCGTGAGGCTCCACAGCCTGCGTGAGGGCTCTGGCGATCCTTCCTCACGTGCACACCCGGCAGCATTGGAACCGCTTTGGCACAGTGTGGTTCCATGCTGCATATTTGACGTAGCCAGTTTGGCGTAGTGGTTAAGTGCTTGGACTCTAATCTGGGAGAACCGGGTCTGATTCCCCACTCCTCCTCCACTTGCACCAATGTTTGCAGACTTACAGAATCCCTGAGCAATAAATGCTAGTATTGATCTGATGGTTTCTGGTTTTTATGTACTGTTACTGCTCATCCTTTACTGCATCCTAGAACTCCGTTCTGTCGATGCATCTCGGGGTTTGTGCATCTGGAAATACTTAATTGCGCAGTTTGCTCTTTCCACCCACAGTGTTTTGTGTAATTAATATTTAAGTACATCGCTTGAACATTGGTTTGTGTTGCTAAGTGCAAAGAATGCATTCACTTGAAAGCAAATGCCTCTCCTTTTATCAGCTGATAGCTGACTTCATTTGTGCCCCATTGCTCATTTGTTCTTTTTGCTTCCGTTTCTGAAAGCATAATGGCTGAAAGAGAAAGCACTGGCAGAGCCAACAATGGCAAAATCTAGGCAGCCAAGTGCAGTGCAGATTTCTGCACATGATGATGCCAGCGGCCCTTGATGTGGGCAGAAAGAGAAGAGGAGGATTGTGAGGAAAAACAGCTCGCTCGCATGTGGGCCTTGATGCCTGGGTTTTCTTGTTGGGAGGTTTACCCAGCAGTCGTCAACAGGGGAAACACCCATCTAAGTCCATGGGCTCACAAGGGTGTAATTGGGTCAGGATTGCACTGTTAAGCTGCAGTCCTCGGCACAATTTCCTGGGAGCAAATCCTATTGAGCTCAAGGGGAATTACTTCTGAGTAGACCTTCTTAGGATTGTTCTGTTACTGATCTTTTGCCAAAGACAGACATGTTTCCAAACCAGGACTAGATGATCGTGAGCATGTGGCGGCTGGCCCACGTGTTTCCTGCTTGGGCACCTGTTGCCCCCCCTTCCCTTCTTGGAGCGAGGCCAGCCTCAGCCTGACAGGTTCCCCAAGGCTAACGCTGAGCATGGCTGTCTTGAACCAGGGTTTGCAAACCTGGGCCTAACCTGCTTGCAAACACATATATAGCACGAACACCATATTGAGCAGGAACATCAGTGCAGCAAGAGAGAGAGACAGAATAAAAATATCTAAATAAATAAAATATTTTTCCATTCAAGAATGAGGATCTAATTATTATCCAGTAGCAATTCTTCATTTAAAACAAAAACTTTTCACAATTATATAATCACATGCCTTTAGAAACATAGTCTTTTCCCCCTCTAATGGTCTGATGGAAAAGTGGCAATAAACAAAAAAGGTGAGAGAGAGAGAGAGAGAGAGAGAGAGAGAGAGAGAGAACAGTATGTGGCTTGTTTTTACCAAGCCTGAGGTCATGCAGTGAAACACATTTGACCAGTAGATTTGGAAAAGAGAAGATTCTCAGCCTCCACGGTGGGGAAGATCTGTACGAAATGATTTTCAGAACAGCCCTCGTGCGGTCTTCCAGAAGAACCCGAGCAGGAGGCTGACTGAGTAGTCAGGGCCATTTTTATTTTTTTTGAAAGAAATTATTTCATAAGGTAAGACAGACAAAGGCGAACATACATACATACATACAGGTTGGGAGAATTCATTTGTATCATTATTTACCTAAGTACTGACCTCATACTATACCCAAAACATTGATTTCTTTTGTCCACCTTATATTTTTCATATATACCTTTTGCTTATAATTAAACATATAGTTCTTATTTCCTTTTATTTCGATTATATGTCTGGGAATTTTATACGTTATACGCTTCTGTACATTTGTAAAACCTTGACCATGGGTCCCCAAAATTTTCTTTATTGTGTCCTCTCAAAATTGAAGTTAAATTATCCTTCTCTGCTGTTTCCAGTACTTTAGTTATACCGTCTTCCTCTGGAGGGACTGCAGGAACACCCCCCCCTTCCCCTGTGGCATTATGCTGAGCCTGTTTGGGCGCTTATTTATTTTTAAAAGCATTCCCTGCAGCCGCTGTGAGGCTGCGGAGAATCTGGACCCAACTTGTTAAAAAGCTGGATGTGCAGTTTGGCCCAAGGACATCACATCTGCTTGTGCATTCCGTCATGTGCTTCACGCAAGTGTTCGCAGTATTTCAAGTGCAAGGGTCTCCGGTGCACAAGCAGTGCTTGCCGTCAAGTGCTGGAGGTCGTTTCAGGACAGAGTGCAGTTTGCTCAGAAAGGCCGCAAGAGTCCTTCACCGTCGGCTTGAGTGCACCAGAGCAGGCATCTGCGTGGCCCAGGCGTTTGATACACATCACTGGAGGAGGCCATAGGTCATTAGCTGGCCCTTCCTTTTGGTATTGTGCCTCTTACTACACGCCCATGTTATTTTTATCAGTTGATCATCCCTAAATATTTGAGAGCTTCTCCCTCTACTGTTTTGCCAAGTAGATTCCAAGGAGTAGTTTATTCAGGATGGACCGTTGAAACACAGTCTTCTTGGATTGTGTGCTAGGGTGTGTGTGTGTGTCTGAAATCAGACAATGATTGCTTCTGGTGTTTCTTCCACTTCCCTGGCTTTTTAACTAGCTGATGTTGATTTTGGTATAACACTGGCTGTTGCAAAACTTTTTGCTGCAGTGGCTTCAATACAAGGGTGGCGTTAGAGGGTGGTAATAGTGTGATTTATGTTGTCCAAGACCGTCCGGTCATTGGATTGTTTGAAATAAAGGTACAGGAAAATGGACGTTTTGGTATGGAAGCAGTATCTCTAAGAGGTTAAAAAAAAAAAGGATCTGTAAAGAAGTTGTGGAGAGAGACTGTAAAGCAACATGTCACGGATATGGCCAGAAATATAGGGGAACAGTTGCTGGATATTACCCAAAAGTTCGTAGAGGATGTCGCAGTGTCCATAAACAGAACAAATGTGGCCTCTCTTGGAAGCCTCCCTAGAAGGGAGTCCAGAGACCGAGAACAGGACAACCTTGAAGGGGCAGCAGGAAGAAGGCAGAGCAGCAGCAATTCAATGGCTGTCGAGCCCGTGATCAATACATCCAGTTTGTTGCGGTCCAGGTGCGGAAGCATCTGAGAACAGCAAGAGTGTCCAGCTTCACAGAAGGGAAGGTGTGATTCAAGGATGGGAGTGTCGGTTGAGGGCCAGAAGATATTCATATGCAGGAGAATCTTGCAGTCGTTATTTTTAAACAGTCTTTGTTAAGATGAAAATAGTGAGAACAAGAAAGAGGACCCGCAAAACTCACGGGGGGGGGGGGGGCCCCAAACCCGGCAGCGGGGGGAACCACCAGGGGGAGGAAAG